AGTACGTGTGTATATATATATATTTTTAATATTGAAAGAAATCGATATCGGAAAACTAGCCAGGGAAAAATAATATACCAGATAACCTGAACCCTACATCAGAAAACTTAATTAAACAAGCATAACAATGAAGAAAACTACTAAAAAAAAAAAAAACTGAGTAAAAAAGAACAGAATATCGAATACATGTTAGATATATGTTAGCAAAACTGAATTAAACATGCATGAATATGATGGTACTGAAACAAAGTAGAAAATTAAAATTAAAAAACTACAAGTAAAGAACAACAGATATATATGTACCTGGGAGATCCCATGGTTGATGCGCTAAGATATCGACATCGATGATCACATTCTCCCACCTGCAGCAACCCGTCGTAACTTTGTCGTAGAGATAATATCGGCAGAGCTCATAGCCCTTCGGGCAGAACCGATATCCTGCTGGCAGTTCCATCATCGGTGCAGCCACAGGATTAGATGGTTGAGTCTCCTCCTCAACTGCATCCATTGAAGAAACATTAACAAAGCGAGCCATGAAGAAGAGAATTTGATGGATCAAATCAAGAAAGCAGGTGATTAATTAAGTCGGTTTGAAGAGCAGGAGTTTTGGGTTTGGTTTTTTTGGAAGGAAGGACAAAACCCTAAATATTCTCAAGGTTTTTAGGAGGATGGGAGCATGGGGCTCACTTATATATAGGAGATTTAATGTACGCGTAATGTTATTGGTGGAATTTTCAGTTAAACAGTGTTTAACTTAAATTAAGTATGATTAAGGGACAATGATTACTGACTTAATTAATTTATTGATCCAACGGTTAATCATGAAGTTGTATTGTTATTTTTAGTTTCAGCCGTTGGATACAAAATTAATTAATGCTCGTTTATCTTTTTAGCTAGTTTATTTTTGTTTCTTTTTTTTATAATTTTTTTTGTTCTTTTTAATATATATTAGGTGTACAGTAGGTTAATTAGAACTTACAAGAGTGCTATAAATACTTTTTTACTATGGTACCACTAGCTATGTGATATAGTATTAGAATTTTTTATTCTCTTAATCATTGGTATAAGATTTAATTCCTAATCTTTATAAATTAAAAGAAAAAATACTTTCTATCTATGGTTGGGCCACATAACATGACATTTATGCTTTTTTTTTATTTTTATATATTAGGCTGTTTAATTAATAGAAAGTAACCTCATTCATGTTTTAACTTATTCTATTAGTAAATTATGTAATTTAAATTTAAAATCTTCTATTTTTATAGAAAAAAATTACTATTAAATTATTTAGATTTTTAGTAACATAACATTTATACATTAATGTAAGATGAGTGACTGGTAATAAAAATTAAAGTTAACATATTTAAAATTTAAAATTATCACAAATCACATAAATATTACTATATATGTGTGTGTCATGTGGCCAGTTATTGGAAAAGATTTGGGTACGATTGGATACATACATACACTAATAAGTATGCTTCGTATTTCCTATTTAGCTTTATATTTGTTAATTGTTATGGTGTTAATGAATACCTCTTCCCATAAAAGTAAAATCTTGATTTGGAGTTAATTTAGGAGTTCAAATCGTCCTAATGTTAAGACTAAGTAGCTAATTAACACTCAAATGTACTAAAATTTTTTTTTTTTCTAAATCTCATTTTATTTTATTTTTTAACATAAATACAACAGACTCCCCTAAGTCTACGTATTAATGATACTTTTTTTTCCCACTTCAACATAAAAAAAAAAAATGTTGCTTTTTAATTTTTTTTCTTCAATGGGAAGATATTTTTAGATTGTTTGAAATAAGTAATTTTGGTAAAGAGAAAAGTGAAAATTCTGATATTCTCACACTTTAAATATCATAATTTTTTGTCAAATTGTTTAAATACTCTTAATCTTTTTTCTTTTTTTTCTTTCTTTTTTTTTTGTGTTGATTCATTAAAATTAGTCATTTTATTTATAATCTTAATATTTTAATTGTCAAAACAACTCGATTTTT